TTCAGCTGCTGGTTTCCTCTTTCTGGTGCAAAGTGGGCCAAAAACAAAGATGAGAGATGGACTCGCGACAGAAAAGCCGATCAGCTGATCATTAAGCAGTTTCACGATTGAAGTAGCAGCAGGAGAGAGAGAGAAGAGGCAGTCGCTCCATATATCGGTTGTTAAGCTTAACGCAGGAATGCTTTACAAACATTCAGAGACGAATTTACACACTTGCTTTACTTCTCTCTGGGATCACTTCCTCAGAGATTAAATGCTGGTTTGGTAGCGAGGCTACAAATACACACAGCCGCTCTATCACGTGACCACACTGCTCCGATGTGCTACAGTTATGAGCCGAGTTGCAGCGTGTTGCAAGTTTTGTGAGGTGCTTTTTTGATATTTAATGGATCGGATTACATTTTTTATTTCTCTCCGATATCCGATCCAGTAATTTAGGTCAGTATCTCTAGTATTAATAAAAACTAAAATGAGGTAAATGCATTGCAGTCAGAACTGATGGCCCATGTGAAAGTAATCCAGTATCCAGAAACAAAAACACTCGTGAAGAAGTTTCGAAATCCAGCATGTCTGTGATTATGTCGTTTCTGTCTGTGACTCAAATGTATGCAAATGAATGCATGTGGAAAATGCATTGGAGAAAAAAAAGAGAAAGCACTGGGAGAATTGGGACTTTGCATGTGGTGTGCAGGAATTCCCTTAGTCCTGGATATTTTGGACCAGAGCTGCTGATGTTCAACGTGAAGGCGGGGGTGGGCGGGGAAGTACCACATACCAAGCAGAGCACATGGTGGTAAAACGCAGCCTCAGTTGAGAAACAAAAGCAGCCATCTGGAGTTATTCTAATGTGAACCCCCCACATAGGCACACAGGAAAATATTGTAGCTGTGTTCGTCACAGCAGTTACCAAATGTTTGGCATCTTGAGATTCACTTTACGCAAGTGATGCGGCATTAAAATGGCACTCATGTGGAACTTTTGAACTGCATAACCTATTTTTCATTTGTCAGACAGAATCGTTAACAGGACATATATGGCTTGATAATTTTTCACAACAACTAAAAGAGCTGGCAATGGTGGATATTGTTAGACCATTCTAGTCTAGTGCAGTCTACTGTGACCCTTACAGATTATGAGCAGGAGCTTTTTATTCACTCATTTTTTCCAGACATCCCTACAGCCAAGCTTTTGTTTATTATTAGTCACGAGTATCTTCATCTCACTCTGAGGTCACTCCTCTCACCTATGGCCTTCACTGGAAAGATCAGGGCTCCTTTTGGTAGTTGTTATTTGTCATGAATATTGCTCTGTTTTTATTTTTATTTTATTCCCCCTCTCTAATTCTCTGCTTCTTTCTTTTTTTCCCTCATCCATGCAGATGTTGAGCCCTCAGGTTCCAACGTTGGTCGGTTACCTAGGGAACCAGTCTCTCACCGAGGCTCTTTTAGGAGCACTTGTCGATGTGTCTCAAGCAAGTCCTTCCTCGCTGGTCAGCTTTCTGCCACCGCTCAGGATCTTGGGACAGCAGTGCCCTGCTTTCCTGGCTCATGTGGCCAAAACCCACGGTGCTGTAGGCATTATCAGTGAGGTAAAAAAAAAAAAAACCCACACACACACTCAAAAAAGAGCCTTACCTCATTTCAAATTTTGGTGATCTCACCTTCAAGTTCAACTTCTGGTACACCTCTGGGCCGCTCCAGTTGCAGCTATTTTTAGATTGCTTCCCAGAGATGATCTTTTGACCACTGGAGGTCAAAGTAGATGATTTGTGCATGATCTGCAGCTCTCTGGAAGCTCAGGAGTATGCTCCCTTTTTTTCATAAGCAGCAGCACACTGAAAATGTGGCAGCTTTTTGGCCACTCTAGCATAACACACTAAACCTGCCCTCCACACCAGAGTTACCATTTTTTGACTATCTTCTACAAAATGAAATTCAAGTTGAAGAGGCTTAACTGTAAAGGCTTTTACACACCGGATGTGATTAGGCCATCACTTTGCATCATTGTGTAAACACTTTAACTGCATGACATAAATTCATATTTACTGTTCATTCAAGCATATTACCTCAATTAACCCAACTGAGGATATAAAGAGGAGCAAGTCTGAAGGAAATAATAGAAACAAGTAGAGGTCATTGAAACACACACTTACTGTAAACAGGCAGGAGTGATTATTTTAATGGGTAGGAAATGATGGGCACTCATATGACTTTTTCTCTCATGCTCTGCCAATTATAAAACACACACAGACCGGATAGGCCGGGCAGATCCGGAGGTTTGGACCGCTGTCTGACACCTGCATACATCAGTGTTCGGTGGAACTGTCTTTCCCAACACGTGCCGAAACCTCTTAGGGCTTAGAAAGGTCAGAGTCTGTTATTCTGGCAGGTGAAGATCTAATTTGAAGTAACAATGAAGGAGCAATGTTCTAAGCCTTACCTTATTATTGCAAACATAACACAATTTTAGGGAACATTAACCTCAGAAAACAGTTGGTCCTTTGTGTGCTGAAAAGGGAAAATCGGCTATACTGGAAAATGTATTTTGAAATCTTAGCTCAGTATGCGTGAAATTTTGTTTTTAAAATTGCCTACCTCACCATATCCTGCTGTTCACCAAAATTATCAGCAGATTTGGTGACAAAAGACAGACCTTGCAAAGTCTAACGCCCACCATGAACAAGTCTGAGTTATTGTATCAATGTGAATCAAGCTGTCAATTTGGTTAAAAGGAGGACGACCACCTCAGTTTTTCAGTTCAAAGGTAGCTGTCCCTGACTCCCATGTAGTTTCACAGAGGCATATAAACCATGAGGGACCAGTAAACTTCAGAGCCTTAACTCAGGTCTAGCCTCATCAACCCAAGGGGCCGACCACAAGGGAGTTTAAGCACCTTGGCAACCTCAGCAACAGCAATGAGCAAGTCATCTCCTTTTCCCAAGACCCCTTTTCGTCTGATGAGGCATGTCAGAGGGGATCGGCAGATCCTCTGAGTATTTCTTCTATTGTCTCACTATATCCTTAATAAGCTACACCCCCCTCCTGACTTGCTAGTTCACCATAAGCCTTGCATCCTCTGGGACAAACGTGCACCATACCAGGTTGGGAATACAAGTATACCCACCCTAACTGGATGCCTCGCATCACGAGTGAACCCAGGTGAGGCTGACTAACAAGCTTGTTCTCCTTCCCCACCACAGAGGTGATATTTCATGTCTATAGAGGCTGTTCTCTGCCTCTGACTGCCACCAAATCCACATAGTACCTCCCTGTGAACTAGCCGCTCCTGCTCCCGGTAGCCTCACTGGAGGGCTGGGCCCATGTGGCTCATTTAACCCATAACCTGGTCACAAAGCGCTTTGCAGTGAGCCCCTCCCACAGGCCCACCTCCAAGGTGAAGCCCGAGCGACCCTGTCCTGGAGTAAACAACGCTTCACTTTCTCTGGCCCCTCAACCAAAGCCAGTTTGCCTTGAAAGACCCTACCAGGGGAAAATTGCCCCTGACAACACAGATCTCAGGAGCACTCAAAAATCCAAACCCCTCCGCCACCATGAGTTGGCAATTAATGGACTGGCTGACTCAATGAATCACATGACACCAAGAGCGTGACACCCCTCTGTTTAAAACCAAAAACAGACACACGTTATTTGTGTCTGTATTGACTTTTGCACAGATTTAAAAGCATTCATGGCTTTGAATACTGCTAATACAGTATGACAGCTCCTGTTACATCCAATAAGTTCACTTTTTGTAGAGATTAAGAATATCAAAATTTGTTTTGAAAGAGATACAATTTGTTCCATGTGCATCCTTTAACCTATGGGTCACACATATGGCTGCCATCAGATGTTACTCAACAAATAGCCTTTTAAAAGAGCAAAATGCAATGATATATAGACTGATGGACAACAATAAAAGATTGTCTTGACGATAAAGTCTGTCTTTGATAAAGCAATATTAAGCCCCAATTTCACTGTTTTATTTGTCCAATGACTATTTAATGGGTTTAAATGAATGAGTTCAGTTCTTAAACCTGCTGCTGTACACAAGTTCAATACTAATAAACAAAAGTTCATAGAATGAATTAATACAGAAGAAGAAAAAAAAAGATTCTTGCTAATGATCAGCACGCTCTCACAGAGCCCCTAATATGGCTTTATAAGTTGTGTTGTCTTATGTTGTGTTCTTTCAGGTTTTAAAATGATGACAGAAAATACTATTATTATTATTATTATTATTATCATGTCATCGTCATCTAAAAGCGTTCAGTGTAGACCTTGTAGGTTTACAGCTCTATTGCTAGTCTTGTTCTAACCCTGTTAAGTATTTATGCAGCACTGTGTAATCATACATGTGATAAAGACCCACGTTATAGTCAGTCTGTGATGTCTGTGTGTGTGTTTGGGGGGTTTAGACTGACAGCAAGACAGGTGAGAACTCCCACTTTCTTTTTCTCTTTTCCTCTGGGTGCATTTTGGGCAGTTTAACAACAATTTAGGGGAAATTAGCAAAAAAACCCAAAAAACATTATGACTGTCTCTACATGAAGTGTTCCTCCTCCACCCATACTCATATACAAACACACACACAGAAACAGAAACGGACGTACACAGAGATCTCAAAGCTGGAACCCATAATAGGCTTTCTATTACTCCAGGGCAAAGTTTCCCTCTGAAAGTTCCCTTCCTCCTCAATCTTCTTGTCAAAAAACCTGCCAGCGCAGTTTTAACACACTCACAAATACTCATACGCGTTCAGATACACAGATTGTTGGACCTCGGTGTCCTGCCTTTCTTCACATTGGAACCATTTGGAAAATAACCAGTGTTTTCTGGGAAATGCCCCTGCTGAGGCCTCTTGATGATGGCAGTGGAGAGACCCTCCTGTGGGTTCGTGTTTGTGCCCTGCAAGCACGCACACGCACATACACACAACCTTTCACACTGGGATGCATTTGTTCTTGATTGCACAAGTCTTTCTCTGGCTTCCCTCAGCCACCTGAAGGGAGTTAGTCTATATTGTGTTTCTGGACTTATTGCGTGTTGGATCAGAATATGTCACTGGTGAAAGAAACCCTTGCACACTGTGGACTGCTTTTTATTCAAGCAGCCCTGCAGGAAAATCTGAAAAAAGAAACTGATGGAATTGCAAACAGTCTTGCTATACATTGCTATACAGAAATAAAACTAATCAAACTAGTCCCACTCAGTGTGTTATGGAAACACTGTTGAAACAGCCAGATGACTGCTTTGTGACTACTGCCATTAGTTTTCTCAAATGTGTCTTACTGTTGACTAATTAACTGTTGGAGTGGGAGAGGCAGATTTATTTTTCTTAAACTTTTCTCTCTAACCTACTGCTGAGCTCATACTTTTCACTCTACAGGCATCATTTAATCTTTTTCTGAATCGTCTCTTTTTCAAAGCAAGCTGACTTGCACTCTTTAATCTGTAGGCATCAGAGGCAGAGAAGTGTCATCTACTCCATTATAATTTCATCAAAGATTACTGGAGTAAAACAGCAACTACCTATTCTTCTATCTCGCTCCCACAAGTGCATTTTTTAACACTAGGAACACAAAAAAGCTGTGCGTCAGCTTCATGCGGCACTCACAGTTTTTAAACCACTCTGATAAGAGTCATTTTCCTTCAGTTACAAGGAACGTCATCATCATGCTAACTTTAACTGCTGCTTAGCTGGATGCAGGTGTGACCAATTGAGGAGCAACAACAATTAATTTGGACCATCATGGGCCACCATCCACTTGTGTTTAAAGTTTTGGAGGGGGTTTCCTGCAAGAAAATCTTTGTTGTTGTAATCTGTTTGCATAAAACATGGTAGCAGAAAGCATCAGGCCAAATCTGGCATTA